AGTGTGTTATAATTCCCTCCTAGTAAATGATCGATAAGTAAATACAGCAAGCTTCAGCATGCAGTTTATACAACAGCTATCAAAATATATTTCATGTAAATTACATGACGATCGATTGAGTCAATTATGTGATTAACTGTGCTTGATACGCTTTCGAACTTCGGCTATGTGTAGCGAAATTTCGCGTACTTACTGGCGAAAGAACGTTATTGATTGCAAATTTTCGTTGAGGTGTTCAAAATCCAACAAAATTTCCTCTATTATTCAAGTGAATTATCACTCAAAACACATCAAATTTTCCCTTGAATTTTCGCAAGATTTTTAAAAAATTCACAAAGACAAAGAACGCAATTCATGCATTTCACATGGATTACTTTTGCACAGTACTGTAATATGTGTAATATTAGTGAGTCGGCAGTGCATGGTTGGTTTTGGTCCTTTTTCAGTTAACATTTGTGTGCTGCATTATGAAACAGCTGTATAAAAATATGCAAAAAGTATAACATTATGTTACATGAGTTTGACATTCATTATAGACAATCGACTTGAGAATGCCAAGACATGGATAGGTGACAAGTGGGACATGGATATTGACAAAATCCTGTTTACTTTATGCTATCTTTATGCTATGTGAAAGGTAAACAATTTGATTTTAGCTTCCTGGTAAATGGGAATGTGTGGTTCCAGAAAATATTGATACCCCACAGAGGGTCACGGAAATTCTGAGGGGTAGGGGGTCAGAGGTAAATTTCCAAAGGGGAGGGAGGCTACTACTTGTATGAAAACTTCCTTTAAAGTGGTACTATGACAAAGTCAAAACATAATTAAAACATAATTAAGTAACCTGTATGAGAAGAAAAATGCTGTTTACTATTTTCAAATATCTCTTTTCGTTCCAGAGATATTCAAGTTTTTGAAATATGCAAATTAGCCAAGTGATGACATCATACACTCAACCGAATTTTGATGAAATATGATAATCAAAGGCTCTGTAGGCCAACTCATTCATATTATTTGAGGGACAAGATTGAGTTTTTATGTGTAATTGCACTTCATGGTTTGTTTCAGTTTTGCCTACTTTTATTGAAATACATGAATGTGTGCAGTGTGATGCATTGCTATGAGCTTCATAAAAGTATGCTGTGTGCATGGATCTTCACAATTGTGGGCTGAAAATGAGTGGGAGTGGTTAATTGGTTGGGTGGAAGAATATGGTAATGCACACAGGGAACTAGCTCTTTGGGGCTTTGGAGTAATGCATTTCACTGAAAGTGAGCAGAAGTGAAACATCCTACCATTTATTTGCTTTCCTTGCAGTTTCACAAATTCTTGGAACCTCTGGGTAGTTTCTTAACAACAGTGGGCAGGGCAGTAGAACAAAGCAAGTGGGCCAGTGCTGCATAAAAGGATTGGGCTATACATTGGTGCTTGCGACAGTGCCCACTTTAAAAATCCTTCATTTTATGTCCAGCCCCTTCCATAACTTTTCTTATGGTTGAACAGCAACGAGAATGACTTGCGATGAACAACAATAACATTCTGAGTGTTGTGAGGATCAGAAAAGCCACATACCTTCTTTGCCTTGAGTGGCATTATTGACAAAGTATATTTACTTCTTTACCTTCATTTATGAAATGTTTTTGTTCTCTTTGATTGCAAGAACAACTTGTGGTGGGGGTGCGACCTGTTTGTTTAAACGCTTATCCATTTTAGACCAAAATATGTGATTTTCTCTACCCAATTTCAGACCAGAGTCTTAAAAATGGCAAAAATCTATACCCTATTTCAGACAAGTAGGCAAAAATACCCAATTTCAGGCCAAAATGTCCAAAATCCATACCCGTTTTCAGACCAAAACAGCTCAAAAACCGTACTGCTTAGGGCAGCACACCTATATAGCTTATATAGGGGATTACCCCCCGGGAAGTGGCATTATTATTATTAAATCATAGCAACAGCAACCATGAGCATGACATAGTATATTTAGTTTTTTATCTTTACTAACTTAATTTCTTTGTTGTCTTTGATCGTAATAACAGCTTGCAATCAACAACAACAATGATAACTAGCGATCAACAACAATAATATTCTCATGAATAGAGAAGTCTTGTGAGGGTCAAAAATCCTGCATACTTCTTTGCCTTAAGTGGCATTACTAAATTATTATAACAGGAACAGTGAGAATGACAGAGTATATTTAGTTCTATATCTTCATTTATATAGTTTTTGCCCTCTTTGATTGCTGGAACAACTTAAGATCAACAACAACAAGTTGTGACCAACAACAACGTTTTGAGGAATAAAGAAGTGTTGTGAGGATCAGAAAACCCACATACCTCTTTGCCTCAAGTGGCATTATTAAATTATAGCAAAAGCAACAGTGAGGATGACAAATTATATTTAGTTCTTTGCTATCATTGTCTTAATTTCTTTGTTGCCTTTGATCTCAAGAATAACTTGTGATGAAGAACAAGAACAATAACTTGCTATCAACAACAATAATATTCTCAGGAATAGAGAAGTGTTGTGAGGATCAGAAAACCCTCATACTTCTTTGCCTTAAGGTCATTCCCCAGTAATGGATTGCGCATCCCTACCGCGCATAATTTCACGCGTGATTAGCGCGCACGCATGAAAAGATGGTGGCTTTTTCTTTAAGGCTGGACCTCGCCAGGGAGGTTAAAGTCGTCATTTTTCTTGAAAACAAGTACGCTGACCTATCGTTTTTTTCTGTTGTTTTGAAATGAGTAATAAATTTCTCCATGCAAAATAAATATGGACCAATTCTCAGTGTAGAACAAGAAACAATCGTCGAAACGTGAATTTAGTAAGCAATTGTGACTATAATCATGGTGCTATTATAAGGATTTATTGGGTATAAACAAGGTACTGCTGCTCCTAAACGAATATGGAGACCCCTCACTTTTATTTCAAAATTTAAGTTCCTATAATATAAACAATCAATAGCCAAAGTTTGACAAAAATCTCAGTGCAGGTTCTATTTGAGTGGAATGACCATAACTGGCATCATTAAATTATAGCAAACGCAACAGTGATGATGACAAATTATATTTAGTTCTTTACCTTCCTTGTCTTAATTTCTTTGTCCTCTTTGATCGCAAGAATAACTTGTGATCAACAACAACAACAACAACAACAACAACAACAACAACTTGCTATCAACAACAAAAACATTCCGAGGAATAGAAAAGTCTTGTGAGGATCAGAAAAGCAGCAAACAACAGCGACAGTGAGGATGACAAAGTATATTTACTTGTTTATCTTCATTGACTTAATTTTTTTGTCCTCCATGAAAATCTCAAATGAGATTTGTTTTACTAAGAGGAGAGTTTGGACTATAAATTTCCTGGACATGTTATTTGATTTTGTTTCGAGATTGTATCCCTCAACTTCTGTAAGTGACTGAAACATGCCATCCAGGGTTTCTCGGTTGCAGTAAAACCTACCAAAGTTTTCCTGGAGGCTTTCTTTAAGTGTGCTTATTTTGCTGGAGGAACACTGTACAAGGTCATCAGGGGAGTCTTCATCATTGTCGTTGCGATGTTTGCAGTTTACACAGACATGTTGTTTGTTGATATCGATGGCCAGGATACGTCCTGTGATTTCATAAACTTCCTTTGCCTTGGGCTTCAGTTGAGCAGTTGCTGCATCACTGTCGGGGGAAAGTTTAATAGCTTCAGAAACAGCAATGCTTGAGTCTTGCGAACCATTAAGGTATTTTCCATTGAAGTAGCCAACTTTCAAATTAG